TTTAGGGTTTAGGGTTAGGTCTAGGGGGACCCCGAAATCTTGCAAGCCTGGCGTAGACAAACCAAAGAGAAGCCGATGAAGAGAAGCACGATGTAGCCGGCACTGAGGCTGGGAGGGCGGTTTCGGATGACGATCTGGATGCTGGCATCCGTGACAAAGTACAGCGCGAAGCATGTGTACATGACTACGACATTCTCGTAGCGGTCCAAGATGTTTTTCACGTCATTGCGGAGAATCGACTCGCGAACCCGGGTCCAGGTGTGTATGTGGGCAATGGACACGCTGCGGTCGCCGTTCCATCGCATCAGAATTGCATTCAATATGCTCAGAGCGTCCTGAGCCTGCTTTAAGCCCATCAAAGTCTTCCGGAGCGTCGTCGCCAGGAGGCTGCCTGAGACTTCAGCTGGCAACATGAAGCAAGACGAACATCTCAGACAGTACTAGAGTCACTGGAGCACTACAATGTGAAAACCCAAGACCCCAAACCCTAGGTTTGGAGGATCCGTCTTGACTGGCAAGCTGCCCAAGAGACCGAAAATCAAGGCCTTGAGAGCAAAGCACAGCATCACATCCTGGGTTGCGTCAAGGAATAGCAGTAGAGTTCATGGATGCGAAGTTCTTGACTGTACCTTCATATAACGCTACTGAGTGGAAGTTCCTAAACAGCAACCTTGCGTCGGATCGGCCAGGGGGGAAGAGACTGCTCGGCGGCAGCAGAGTGCGCGCCACGGTCTTGGGTCGCCCTGCATAGCACCATGGGTTGATCTCGGGAAGGTCTGCCGCGCAGCGCATCTCCACCTGCATTCCAAAAGCTTCTGAAAGAGAATCCCGAACAGGATTACCAGGGATACCACCAGACTCAATGGATTTAGCGGTTAGGGTTTAGGTTCTCGAAAAGCTTCCTACCTCGGGGTTCTGATCAAAGAAGAAGTAGATCAGGGCAAAGGCGTCGCCAGCAGGGTTGATGCAGGAGCAGAGAAAGGCACCGAGACCCGCAAAAAAACCTCGGACTGCTCTTAAAGAGCTTTGGGTTTAGGGTTTAGGGTTAACTTCACTAAATGGTCCACTGAAGAAAACTACAATACGTACACTACGTCCCTGTCTTACTTATGCTTCCATAAGGAAACGATGCAGCTTACTGCGCATCCTATTTTGGCAACAGGTTGTTAGCAATAAGAGCGCAGAAGCCGCACACGGTGTACGCGTTGATGCCGGGACCTCGGTCTGGGGTTCGGGCCCGTAAACTCTGAACCTTAAACCCCTCCACCTTCCAAGGCACAGACCCGGGGATTGGATTTGGGGTTGAAGAATGTAGGGTTCAGGCCTCATGGGGCTTAGCCAAACTCCAGCCATCGCAGCCCAGGGACGGAACTGGCGGGGGGGGCGGATCAGAACCATGTTCTTGGCCTCAGGGAAGGGCTGTTTGAGGGTTTGTGGGGGGAAAGGAGAAGACTCCAGGGTGTTTTAGGGTTTAGGGTTTAGGGTTTAGGGTTTAGGGTTTAGGGTTTAGGGTTTAGGGTTTAGGGTTTAGGGTTTAGGGTTTAGGGTAGGGTGTATGTGGTAGACCTTGGGGTTTAGAGTTTAAGTCTCGGGTTCAGGATTCAAGGGGGATGTGTGGAGGTTTGCGATACTTGGGGACCGTAATGCCGCAAATGAGCGGGATTCGGGGTGAAGTATCTGAAGGGACGTTAGCGGTTTGCGACTTTTGTTGCATTGCAGGTGTTCTGGGACGTTTTAGGGTTGTAGAGCTTTAATTGGAAGCTTGTTTGGCTCGGGTTTCGGGTGTGCGCCTGGATTGGCCCTAAACCGAACCCCGAGGTGTTTCGCAGGCCTTCTCCCAGTCCAGGGCCATGAGGCACTGTTCTTCGGCTTGTCTGCCCTGCTTCAATGCGAAGGGCAAAGCCTGATGCATCGCTCAGATTCGAGAACTGGAGAGCCGCCCGCAGGGCTCAGGGTTCGAAGGTTCAGGGTTTAGGGATTAGGGTTTGGGGCTCAGTGTTCGAAAAGTATGGGCTCTTCTTTAAGTACGCCTTCAAATCTTTGGAGCTTCTACGGTTCCAGACTCTAGTCGTTCATAAAGGTCAGGCTTTCGTGTACAAAGGCTGCCAACTGGTCTCAGGAGCCACATCCTCGAGATCATCTCCCCCACAGCAGAAGCTTCGTTTGAAGACGGTGGTGTTCCTTGGGCTCCAGGGACCCCCAAACCCTGAACCCAGACCCGAAAACCATGTGAAAACACAATCACAACCCCCACGATCATGAGGAGGGTCAGGGCCAACGGCCACTTTGAGAGGGGAGGAGAGGTGTTGGAGGTCCATTTTGGCACTTCAGACGGCGCTACCCGCCGCTGCCGCATCGAAGGTCCATGGTGGCAACGTGTCAACGTGACCCGGTAAGAGAACTCTGATGTGTAAATTATAGGCAGCCTGACATGACCTCTGAAAAAATGTGTTCCACGAACACGAGGTTCAACTTGTTCAACCAATCCAAACCTGTACACCCTACGGCACTCATACCCTAATCACTAATCCTAGGTTCTGCGGTGGTCTTTTGTCGAGATGTGAAGGACTCTCAAGGCTGTCCGAGGATCTGCCACCTAAGCTTCTCGTGACTACCGCCGCGATAGCCACTGATGATGGGGCAAAAGTCGTATTCCTCAAAGATGTTGACTTCCTGTGGCTCGTCCAACCAAGACGCAAAGCCAGCCTTGGCCTGTTGGAAGTCGTGCTGATGAGCCTGCCAGACGTCCTGGTGAAATCTTGAAACCCTAGATGCTAGACTGCTAGACCCCAATCCCCTGAAACCCGAAACCCTACCTAAACCCTAATTGAACCCTAGTAAACCCCTAAGATAGCCCCAAAAAAAGCCCTAATTTACCCAAAAACCCGCAAAGGTCTGAAACAGACCGTGGTCCTGGTCCGTGTTCCCAATCATGTTGACCTGAAGCCCATCTCGTGCACGAAGCACCGTTTCGGGCCCACGCACATCCCGAAAGATCTCTTCCAAGTCTGCGTCGAAGGACTTCCTGAGCCACTGGGGGGGGGGGGGGGGGGGGTTCTTGGAGCTTCTGACAGGAAAGTGCTGAAGTGGGCTGAAGTCAAGGAAAGGCTCTCCACAATCTTGTTATCCTTCCAGCAGATTCTCCATTGGTAGAAGGAAAGCCCTTTCACCGGCACGTCATCTTCGTCTCCTCCCAATGCCCACTTGGTGGACATAATCGGGCAGAGGAGGGCTTCTGCTAGGCTGGACTGCCGATTCTTGGACATCTCCCGGGTGACGTGCATTTGTCTGCGAACAAGGGCCTTCAGCCTCATGGCGACTGCGGTCAGCTGGTCGGTAGAGTAGATTTCTGTTCTCAGAAGCGTTTCGGTCTCGGTCTCTGGCTCACAGTCTGAATTTTTCCGGCACAGAGAAGCCAGGCCACGCATGGGGTGCGGCGTGATGTCCCCCTGGTCCGACAAACAAGCTGCGAAGGACATCAGGGTGAAGGCAAGCATGATCACCCTGGCGCAGCTGTGTAGATCTTTCAATGGGGAGAGTTTAAAGGATCAAACGGGTAGTTCTCTAAATTAGGGTCCCGTTCTGGGTCCCCAGTATAGTACGGCGCCCTTATAAAAAAAAGACCCTAGAAGGGACCATAATTTAGAGAACCACCCAAAATGGAAAAACAACACGCATTTCCACGGCGGTAGAGGCTCCAGCTTTGCTCCATAACTGGTCCCGGCATGCAGAGATCTTCATGGCCGGACCAGTCGCCGTACCGGAGACAAGAGACCCAATCCTTCGCGCCCACTTGTGGCTTAGGGCTTAGGGTAGGCACGCGACCCTGAATCCCTACGCGATCTAAACCCCCTTTAAAACACCTCTAAACCCTTTCTAAACCCCCCACTACAAAAAACCGACCAAGCATCAGAGCCAGAGATGAAGGAAAGATACTTGGAGCAGACGGCAAAGACAAAGCACCTTGCCGGGTCTTGAGGGCTTAGGGCTTAGAGCCCCGTCTCTTACCGCTGTATTTGTGGCTCGCATATGACGGCACGTATGACAGACATGAGATCTCTATGCAACCCGAAAAAACCCACGACCCGATGGGGACCAGGAAACAAGATGATACTGTCGCATACTATCCCAGAAGTAAGCGGTTTCCCACACCGTACTTTCAGAAGAAAAGGCACAAGGTGATGGTGACGAAGTAAGCCAGGAGGTGCCATCCATCGTACTTGGCCCTGGAACAATCCAAGAAGCGCACCAAAGCTATGGGCGCATCCGGATCTTTCGAACCTTTTTTGCCTTCGCCGGGTCTAGGCTTCGGGTCCCAGAGCTGTTTGCTGTTGCGTATTGTGCGTTAAAACATCGCCCTTTAAACCCTGCAGTTTGGGGCACTGTGGGGTTTTTTCGGCTCCCGGAGAAAAAAAAAGGGGGGGGGGGGGGCGAGGGTCGAACCCAAAGCAGGGTACTGTTAGCCCCTGCAGCTGGATCACCGATGCTCATGCCCATGAGCCAGGCGAATGCGATGGTAATCAGAAAGAGCCCATACCAGGCAAAGCTGGTGCCCAGAAAGCTCTGACTGGCAAAAATGGGACGGTACAGCTCCTTCGTGAAGATGTCGCGAGCGCGATTTCCCAGAAAGCACGGATCCGTGGAATTCGCGGAGTTTGGTAGGTTCCCGACTTCCGACACAACCTCGAGCTCGTAATTTAGATGCGCATTCTCGAAGCATGCATAGATGGCAAATGGTGCAAAGATGAGAGGTCGTAAATTGCATCGCGGCTGGAATCGTCTAGACACAAGACCATCGCCAGGTAGCTGTCGACCTTCTAGCCTTTCGAAGACATTGTGTCCTTTGCTTTCCAAACTGGAGGCGGGGTTGCAGCGCGAGGGCCTTAGGGCGGTGCATCAAAGAAAGGCTATGCCAAGAACAGCCCAGTTGCCAGCAAGGTGGGTTGCGTAGCTGCCGGGCCTCTTTCGGACGCCGGCTGTGCCCGCTTCCTTGTCACCACGACACACATCAGTGGCACCTGCACTCGCAAGATCCTCTGGAGGATCATGTGGCACTGCATGTGGCTGTTGAAAATCTTCCTCCGACACCCTCGACATCCCGAGCCCGTCGATTGAGGATTACAGAACAAGCTGAAGCTTTGAGAAAAAGCAAACGGCCAACAGGCATACTGCTGCACAATGGCTACTATGGATGTGCTTTCTCCAGAACATCTTGGATCCGATGGAGAACCTAGTCTGTGTGGCTATGGCCCCACGTGTCCTTGCTGCCTCTGCCTGGCCTGTTTCCGTCTTGTCAACGTCATGCAGCTCTTCGGTCTTTGTTGTGAAACGTGAGGGGACAAAGAGGTGACACACGGCATCTACGAATTGTTAAACATCCCCAGCCGCGCTATCACGGCAGCAGCTTGGATTGCAACATAGCCCAGCACGGTCTTCTGGAAGCTGGGGTTCATAGGCAGGAACCTGGGTTCATGAAGCACCTCCAATGAATTTAACAGCATGAAGATACCACAGAATCCATCTCCCCGAAAAAACACGGAGCGTCATACTCAAGGTGCCCAAAGAAGCAGGCCAAAGGTGCGCAAGCTGACCATGTCCCTATTTATGGTAGCTCGTCATGCCAGTTCCCAAACCCTAAACCTCAAGCCCTAAAAACCCTAAACCCTAAACCCTAAAACCCAGACAAGGCATAAATAACAAGAACCTCGGAGCAGCAGCTTGATTTGGTAGTCCCAACCGCCCTCGATGCGTGTCGCCATGGTCTCCAAGAACTGCCTTCTCTGCTGCAGCTCCGAGTTCCTTGCTCTTCCGGGCTTTGGGGGTTTTCGGGTGTGGGGGTGCTTCAGGGTTTCGGCTGTCCATTCTTCAGGTGCTTTGGCAACTTGGAGCTCTCCACTACGACCAGGCACCCACGGAACGAGTAGGTGGCCTCCTTGATGAATCGCAAGGATTTGGCATGCCCCACCTGCATGAAATGACAGGCCGTGGCTTGGCGCAAGCATAGCCTGGTGCAGGGGGCTCGCATCATGTGCGATTCAACTAAGGGAATCGAAGTAGATAACGAACCTAAACCCTAAACCCTAAACCCTAAACCCTAAACCCCTAAACCCTAAACCCTAAACCCTAAACCCTAAACCCTAAACCCTAAACCCTAAACCCGACCCTGAACTTCTTAGACCAGCGGCAGAGAACCACCGCACATAAGCACGATGACGAAGGTTGCCAGAATGCTGGGGGAGCGACCATGCAGCACGACTTGGATAGTAGCATCAGTACTAAGCCACAGAGCGATAATGAGCGGGATAATCAGTGTGTTCTCGTGGCAGTGCATGATGTTTCTCACATCATTCCGGAGAATGGACTCCCGGGTTCTGTTCCAGATCCCGATGTGCGCCAGAGAGATCGTCTCATCTCCCACCCATCGCAGAAGGATTGCGTCGAGGATGCCAAGGGCATGCTCCGCTTGCTTCAAACCGATCAGGGTCTTGTGGAGTATTGTCGCAAGAAGGCTCCCGAGCAGGCTGCAGATCAGCGCCTTCAAGGCACCGCACACCCAGATCTCCGGCCGCCCAAGAACAGGGAGGAGGTCCGACCCTGGCAGAAACGTGTAGCGAGCAACGGTCACACTGCGCCCAGCGTAGCACCAAGGGTTCTCCTCTCTCGCTGCCGTGGCAGCGCATCGCTGAGCCACTGCATCCTGATCCAGGAAGAGCGTCAGGGCGTACTTGTCGCCGAGGGGTGACAAACATGTGACGAGGAAACCAAAGAACCCCAGGCCAAAGCCGACCAGGACGGGGATCGTCAAGCCTCCAATGCCGGCACCAGGGCGCTCCGGACGGTTCCCCCAGGCCTTCGTCCCAGACGCAAGGGAGCGAGTCACCTGAAAAGGCGCAACAACACGCTCCCACCACCTTGAGTCTCCGCCTGATCCGAGAAACCTCGGACTTCCACCAAACCCCACCCTAAACCCTAAACCCTAAAACCCCTAAAACCCCTAAAACCCCCTAAACCCCACCTCACAGAACTCGTACTCATCAAAGATGTCCACCGCCTCCAGCTTCTCGGCCCAGCTTTCAAACGCCGACCTGGCCTGTTGGGAGACAGGGAATTTAGGGTTTTTCTTTTAGGGTTTCGGGTTTAGGGTTTAGGGCTTAGGGTTTAGGCAGGGAAGGCTCTGAAC